CCTGAATTGACGCGCCCCGCCAGCTTCCCCATAAATTCTATCAATTTTTACGTTTCCATTTCTATAAATACGTAGCCTTTCGATGGTTACAGGCAAAGTTTCAGCATCGATTCTCTCTTATGCTCTCTATTATTGATCTTCCATCTAAAGGCGGAGCCAGGATTGGAATTTCTAATCGGGAGGATGACAACTAAACATTGCATAGTTTGACAAAAGTATTTTAAAAAAAAATTGAACACGTAGATAGTTTAATAGTTAAAGTTTTAAAATTTAAAAACCAAAATATAAATAATTAGTCATACAATCAAAAAAATGGAAAAAATTACACAATTTTCTTGAGTTTCCTTGGTTTGGAGGATAATCCTTTAAGTCATACAATCAATATCATATACAAAGTCTTCCTCCTCCTGTGGTACATTGCTAGTACTTAAACTACCTATTTTCACATTATTTTCTTCCGTTAGGGAGAGCTAAATGAAGGGGTTGGACATGAATTGCAGAAGATTGGATTGTTTTGTTGTCTTGGACTTGTTTGAATTAAGTGAATTATTTGACATGTCCCAATTGGTTTGAAAATTATATTATAAATCAATAATAATTCAATTTGCATATCATACATGCAAAATCAAACAATTTAACATACTTAACAAGCTAACAACTTAACAACGCTAGCACTGATATTTATACAATAAACAATAAAAAAAATTGGGTTTGAATACAAAATTTTGTTTTTTTTCTTGGTTTTTATAAAAATTAAAACTTGATTTTTAAATAAAAACAAAAAGAAAGGGGGGCAGGGGGGCAGTTGTACTCCATTGTCCCCCTTCCCTCCGCCTCTACTTCCATCTCTATAATCTTCAAAAATTCCACCTCCAAATATTCCTATAAATCAATATTTTACTCAAATTATGCCGGCAGTCCACGGCGTAAAAAGTGTAACACCTAAGGGTGAAATTTTCTTTGTGGAGGCGGATGTACAAAGCATGGTACATCCGGATTTTTGATATAAAGCAGAATGAACATATTTTGTTTTGTAAAGAACATATAACTGTTTTGTATAGAACATATAGCTGTTTTACAAATGACATCTAGCTATATGTTCTTTTTGTATATCTAAAGAACATTCATAATATTAATAAAGAACATGATAATATTATGTAATGAACATTATTTATATTCACCCACCATAATCTAAAGACAAAATTTAAAGAACATTTCACAGTAAACAATGAATATTATGTCACAAATAAATACATTACACTAACAATCAAATAACACAGAGATAAAAAATATTATTTAACAGTGTGTTTTTTATAAAATAGTGTTGTGTTCATTGTTATTAATAGTTTTATGTTCTTTTTTTATATCTCTTATGTACTTTTATCACGTTCATTACATTTTAACAATATGTTCTTTTCACTTTAGATATATGCTCTTTAGAATTTTATACCATGTTTTTTCACTTTAACTAAATGTTCTTTTCACTTAAACTAAATGTTCTTTTTTTTTTTTTTTTTTTTTTTTTTTTTTTTTTTTTAACGGATGTACTATGTGCATGGTACATCTGCCTAGCTCCATGAAACACTGATTGCCTAATGGTTTGAAATCTAAACTCTATTTAACATAATTTAATTTACTTTAATTTATATTTTTATTGAAGTTTGCTAACATACTATTCATGATATAGTTGGAAAGGGCCACAATCGGCGTGGGTAAATTTAATTATTTTCTTAGTTTAATTAATTCTACTATATTATTTATTCCTGCTAGTATCATGTTTCAACTTTAATATCAGGTTTAGGTGTTGAGTTAATCATGTTAGTATCATGCCTAGTTTGTATTAATATTTGTTTAGTATCATGTTTAAGATACGTTGATTATTTGATTTCTCATTAGATTAGATCTTGTATACATCAATTTTATATGTAAGCCAAATTAAAAATTAAAATATCGAGCGATGACTTATCTAGCTATATAAGTGAGAGGATAAGTAATGAACTAATATGGTCATCGGGTTATGTTTAAAAGAAAAAAAAAAGTTCTTAACGATTAATGAAACAAACAATTACATGAATTGAAGTAGGAAGGTCAATAGTAAGTTGAGTTCAAAATTATGTTTTATTTCAAATCAAGTTGAACTAATATCAAGTCAAGTGAAAACAATTCATAACAGATCATATTGAATCGAGTATTTGAATTGTAAGGTTTAAGGCTGTTTTGAGTTCAAGTCAGTTCAAATTGGTGTCGATTTGAGTTCAAGTCAGGTCCAAATCAGTGTCAAGTTGTGTTTAAGTCAAGTCAGATCAAATCCATATAGGGTTAAGTTAAAATAAGGACACATTCCAATTTGGGTTGAGTTCAGGTTGATTACAGATCAGGTTTGGCATCTAAATTTCTCAGGTCAAATTAGGTCGGTAACAGTTCAAAACGGATGGTTTTTTCGTGTCGGGTCGGTTTAATTTTGACACCTTTAGAGTACCACATTACTTGGTACGCAAAACGAGGCATTCACGTTGTTTTTTTTTGTTCAATTGCGAGCTCAATTTGATTCCTTAAGAATAAAACTGACCTTAAAACCTTGATGGAATAATTTTTGATAGGTAAATCGAGAAAAAAAAACCTTAACCAAAATGGCCCCACAAATACTTTACTTGACCAAAGTTGTTAGTGGTAGAAAAATCCAATTTAAAGGTATAAAAAAAAAGTTAAAATCAAAATTGTACTTTTTAAATGCATACTAAAAGTTAAAATTTTCTAATTAAAAAAAAAATACAAAGTAAGGCCTCGTTCACTTCACCTTATTTTTGCTTAACTGAAATTATTTTTACTGAATTGAAATTATTTTTTCTGAACTTAAATGATTTTTACTGAATTGAAATTAGTTTTACTGACTGAAATTAATTTTACTGAAATGAAATTAATATTGCTGAACTGAAATTAATTTTATTGATTTTCTATTATATTTCTTCTTTGAAGTTACTGAATTTTACTGACTGAACTTACTTTTGCTGAACTGAAATTATTTTTACTAAATTAAAATTATATTTACTTAATATTTTTTTTTAAGGTAAAGTGAATAGGGCCTAACAAGATTATTATGTTGTTGTTTTTAAGTACTAAAAACAATCATCTATAACTTTATACTAAAGGCGAAATCAAGAGTGACACGTGTCATCTACTGGTCAAAAGTTTTCCCTCTATAAGATTTTTATTTTTTCACTAAAGTTTCTTAGATAATATTTAATACTCTACAATATTATTTCTCTTCCTATAATATTTGTTAAGCATATTCCATTTAGACACGTTCAATAAAAATATTATTCTTTTATTTAATATTATGCAATGATATATTCCTATCTATAACTTTGTGATGTAAAAAACAATTATTTTTATTAGTCCATGTAATAATCAGTCTGTTGGTTTTCTTTAGTACAGTAGAATAATTTTCTTTTTATTCTGTAATTTCAAAATTTTCATCTTATTTTGCAATTAAATATTCATTTTACAATTAATTATATATAGTGTTAAATGATAAATAGTGAAAATTAATTACCGCGCATATCACGGGACTTAACCTAGTTTACTCCAAATTATTAAAAAAAAAAAAAAAAAAAAAAACTTATAAAAATCTCAAAAAGATTTACCGTGGCGATAATGGAGTAGAAAGAGGAATTTGATATCAAATATAAGTGTATACACCAACGGTCAAATTTGATTTCGGCCGACTTTGCACTTGTTTATAAATGATCATTCACTCATATTTCGTAAATTCATACTACCCAATTTTATTTTTACGCACTAAACTAATCAATATATATTATTAAAACTCATGGCAAGACATGCAACTTTGTCATGTGTCATCAATTTGCCATTTGGCATATGATGTTATGCCATGTAATACTAGTCTATTAATGGTCATTATTTTTCCCTTCAAAAAAAAAATTATACACATATATTTTTCAACAATCTATAATAACAAAAGTGATATCATCTCTTTCATATGCTCATACACACAACCCTATATTAATTATTTGAAATATGTAACCCAAATATATGTTGCACTTTTTAATTTTTTATGATAATTTTTTTCCACACATATGTCATTTTTAAAGAGTTTCTTATAACAATTGAAGAACGAGATAAACTAATAATATCTCGGATACTCAATATTAGATGATGAATTTTAATGTTCAATAAAATTTAAGAAAAATAAATTAATAATACAAGTTCTATTATAAAAATAATTAATCTTAAAAATAAAATATAACTAATATATATTAATATTTCACCTAATTAATTAGTTTAAATGAATTCATAATTATCCGGGGCATCGCCCGGGTTAAAAACTAGTTTCATATTGTTAAATCGCCAATTCTCCATAATCCTACTACCCAATTCAATAATGTCCGTAGGTAACCTCGCAATATTAAGCCGTTTCGCGGCATTGGACGACTTCATCAGAGAGCAAGAAGAATCGTTGTTAACATTGCAAAGATCAATGATTGAGATTTTAGCAACCCTTAACCTTAATAATGGCGTCATCAATCCTGAAGATACTCATGTTAGTAATAATGTCATGGCAAGTCTTAAGCGGGTAGCCGTTGAAGAATGCGGTGAGCCTTGCTCGATTTGCCTCGATGAAGTTAAGGAGAATATTATGTGTGTTTTGAGTTGCAACCACGGTTTTCATGAGAGTTGCATAGGAAGGTGGTTCAAGAACAAAAGATCATGCCCACTTTGTCGTTTCGAGTATCCATGCTAGCTACCAATAGATCAATGATATGTAGTTCAAGATTGAGTATGTAGAATTTAGCTAGTAGTGATTAATTGACTATTTCAATTTAATTGTTGAAATTACTAGTTAGGTTTTTCGAATATTTGTGGAACCAAAGTTTTTAGATTAATAGTATACTACGTATTTCTTTTAGTTTGTTGCTTTTGTTGTAGTGTTTAATTAATTGCTGATATGGTGTTACTCGGATTAAGTTGATGTTAATTGCAGGACAAAGCTTTAGAAAAAGGCGGATTTACATAAATTTACTGTATAGCAGAACTTTTTGGAAAAGACTTTATTTCCCAATTTTCATCTCACACGTGCCAATCCTTGAATTTTTTTTTTTGTCTCCTCCTAACTACCTCTTTCTGATTTTTACTCTCTCCTCCATTCTTTTCTCTTTCTGGATCATTCTTCAATTTCTCTCTCCTCTTCAAGCTTTTTTCTCCAAGTTCTCTCTCTTTCATCTCTCTTTTACTTTCAATTTTACAGGTTAATTGATGCCGATATTTTTTCCCATTTCTTTGATTGTTGTTTGATTTTTCTTTGTTATTAAAAATTGTTTTCATTTTGCGAAGTTAAGTGAGACGATGGTTGCGAAAGTTTTGATCAAGAAGAAATTACTCCAGTTATAATCGTAGATTCGAAACATATAGGAGGTAATTTTGTTATTTCTATGTTTTTGTAACCTAATTTTTTAATTTGTTCGATTGATTTCGATTTTCTAGATTTTGTAGCCTACTTTTTGTATTTGTCATTTTTATTTTGATGTTCTTTAATTTCTAGAGTTCTTGTGATATGGATATTCATTTGGTTCCGATTTGTTCTTATTTACAATATATTTGGGAATTATATCAAGCTTATAATAGCCTAGCTGTAAATTTTAGAAGCTACTCACTAAGAGCTTGCATTGCCGATTTGTATGATCTGTCTTGCATACTTTGATAGCACATGATAAAGCACCCCAATATTACATCTTCACTACATTTAGCCATTTATTATGTATGCTGCATTATTGTGCTAATATCTTCAGACCAACATTAATCAAGACCTTTAGCTTGTGCATTAGCAGCAAACAAACTTCGTTGTCGAATTTAATAATAAAATCCATTGCAAATTATGACATTTGATATTGTTGCTTGATTGTGGAGAGATATGAATTATATTGCGTTGTTTGATGGATCGGAGGACATTGTCTCGTCCTTGTGTATTTTCCTTTGTTGGACCGTATATTATTAGATTATTACTTTTGTAGGTACTTTGTATAAGTTTAATTTGAAGGGTCCCTTGGGGATCGATACGTGTAATTTTGTTGTATCCAGGGTGACTCTTATGAGCATATGAAAGCTGACATTATATATTTGAAGGGTACTGTTTGTAAATAAGAACAATTGTAATTTATGTATACAAATCAATAAATATGTATGTGAAGTGTATTGAGCTATCTTCATAGATTCATAGTGTTAATATCTTTGTCATAGTACAAGAGATAAGGAAATGACTACTACTTCTTAGCATATTAATTAGAACATAATCAAGGAATGGCATCTCTCCCCCCCTCTCTATGAGAATACTAGGTCATTTTCCTTAAATATGTGACTATATTTCCATTGTTATGATAGAAATGGAAAGTGTCTAATTTCAAGGCTATTAGCTTAAATGGTAGAGCAATTTGCTATAATGTACATGGTGTGGGTTCAAGCCCCACATAGGCTACATAACACTTGTATATTGTTGAATTCTTATTTTTGCTGGTGTAACATTGGTCATTTCTATAAGTTGTAACAAGCATAACACTCTTGGTTAGGATATGTTAAGTGCTTTTGATCACGGTTACTTTTGTCTTAGTTAGGGTCACTTTCACCCTTATAAAAGGTCATTTTTGTTCTCCCTTAAATAAGGTCACTTTTGTTCTCGTTAGGGTAACTTTTATCTTTGGTTAGGGTTACTTTTGCCTTAGTTAGGGTCACTTTCACCCTTAAGTAAGGTTACTTTTGTTCTTGTTAGGATAACTTTTATTCTTGGTTAGAGTCACTTTTGCCTTACTTAGAGTCACTTTCACCCTTAAGTAAGATCACTTTTTGTTCTTGTTACGATAACTTTTGTTTTTGTTATATTAACTTTTGCTCTTGTTAAGGTAACTTTTGTCCTTGTTGGTTAGAGTCACTTTTGTCTTACTTAGGGTCACTTTTACCCTTAAGTAAGGTCACTTTTGTTCTTGTTAGGGTAACTTTTGTTTCCTAGTTACGGTCACTTTTGCCTTACTTAGGGCCACTTTAACCTTTAAATAAGGTTACTTTTAATAAAGTTATCTATATTGTTTTAATGCCGAGAATTAAGTTCAAGAAAGTTAAGAGATTCGATGTTTGTTCTTATACAAAGCCAATAGCCTATATAGGATTCGAACCTACATACTCTGTGCAAGACAGAGTGCTCGACCAACTGAAATAATAGGCTATATGACAACACAATATGAAATAATTACAAATTTATAGTAGTATAAAACTTGCAGACTAAATTGAACCAGTTCATAGCAATATAAAAACGGCAAATTGGCAGAATAGAAATTCTAAATTTTTTGATGCAGTGATGCATTTAGGACAAACTAATGGTTCCAATTTCCAAGTAGTTCTATAATACAAAAATCAGCATGGTTTTAGTTTTAATTCAATGTCAACCATTGTTCAAAGAAACTAATTGCTATTTGTTTAGCCAACCATATAAACGATTCTTTAAGCAAACCTTCAATAAAAAGTCAGATCACAATTTCATATAGGTTATAGTTAATAAAGAGTCAACAATGTTTAAAATTGTATATGCATTAATCTCAGACTCGTAAATTTTGTTAGTTATTACCCCTAAACCGCTACTTTAGGAACTTTGACACACATTAAATGAAACACATTATTAATTTCAATTTATCAAAAGATTGATTCAAAAGTTTCTGTGTTAACATAATCACTTGCTTTGATCGATTATTACCTAGATTTAACAAACTAGCATTAGAAATTTAATTAAAATAAACGAAAAACGAAAAGTATATTTCCTGGGTTTTGATTCCCCCTAATTTGTGAACTCGAATTCCTGGCTTCATCATCCATCCTCCAATCCGAAGCAATTTTCTTCAATTGTGTTGTTTAAATCGATTTTCATTCTATTTTTCAATTGATATTCCAGTATTAGAGCTTGAATATGTCGTTGTCATTGTAGAAACCCTTATATCAAATTTAAACAATTCGAGAAATTGAACAGATGCTTTGTTGCATGATGATTTGTAATTCTTTCCGCCATTGTTGATTGAAACTCGTAGATCACATGTTTTTTTTTTTCGTTTATCAATGGTGGATTTTTCCATATTCTCCTCCATTGTTGCTGGGTTTCGAGCTCTCTATTTCTGAGCTTTGTGGTCTGTTAAATCTTTTTTTTTTAAAAAAAAACATATGGTTACTATTCACACGTGACAAAACCGGATTTACATTAAACTTAATGTAAACCGGGTGCATATAAAAACTTTTGTAATTGCAATATCTTCTATTCTGTTGGATTTAATACAAAAACTTAAATAAACCTGGTCCACAATAATTTATTGTGGACCTTGTATTGTCACGTGACTCTCTCTCCAACATCTTACTACTGCTTCCTCTATTCCCACCCAAAACCCATGTTTTTTATTTCTTTTCCCAAAAAAACGCAGCGAAAACGCTTTCTCTCTCTTCCGACCTTCCGTTCTTCCATTTTCTCTCTCTACAAAATCAGCTCCGGTTTTTCTGGAAAATTGCTCGAATTATTCTTCAATGGCAAGAACTAGAGGTGGTGGTACATTTCAACGGAGAAGAGGCCTTCGTTCTTCAGCTACTCAACCACTTTCTGGTATAATTTTTGTTTATCATTTGAATTCTGCAATTTTGAGGTTATTCATTATTGTTTTTAGTTAATTTAAACTATTTGTATGATTTTTGTTTGAATTTCGTTTCGTATTGAAGATTATTGAAGATATAGGGTTTTTTCGATTTTTTTTTCATGCTTTGTACTGTATTTCTGCAATTTTGAGGTTATTCATTGTTGTTTTTCGTTAATTTAAACTATTTGCATGATTTTTGTTTCGTATTGAAGATTATTGAAGATCTAGGGTTTTTCGATTTTTTTTTCATGATTTGTACTGTATTTCTGCAATTTTGAGGTTATTCATTGTTGTTTTTCTTTAATTTAAACTATTTGCATGATTTTTGTTTGAATTTTGTTTCGTATTGAAGATTATTGAAGATCTATGGTTTTTTGATTTTTTTTTCATGATTTGTACTGTTTTTTCGATTTTTCGAAGGTAATGCTTCAGAATTTATGTTTATGTTGGCGCACAGTGTTAAATTATATATTTATATTATGGAATTGTTGGTGCTTTTGATTGGTGTAGTTGGACTTGTTGAATCTCGATTAGCCTGGAAGTATAATTAGAAAACTGTGATGATTGTTAGAACTTGTAATTCTTTGGATGTTCGCCTCATCATGCTGGTTTTGACCACTTTGTAGCATAGAAGAAACTTCGTTTTAGGCTCATTTTACTGTCTTCGTGATGGATTATGCAATCTTGTTTGTGCTTCAGTTTATTTGGAGTATTACTGTTTTCAATTGTTAGCTTCTTTGTCAATGTGTTTGTTTGAGTTATCGGTTAGTGCCCAATTAAGGGCAAGGTTTCCTGTACCTTGACCTCCTAGTGAGATATGGGTTACATCATTCCTAGTTACTTGTTCAGGAACCATGGTTTATGATATTCAAATCGTTGGTTATGAGGTGATCAGATTTTTGAGTCTCAGCTATGCGTTGCTACTCATGTGTCTGTGATTAAATGACCTATGTTAGATATTTAGTACATTTAGTGCATATATCATTTTCAGTGTGAACTCATGTACGTTGTTTGTGAGTACATATATCTAGCTGTTCATGTGATTTGGCTGCAACTCGCAAGACTTGCTATCTGACATCTCTTGAGATTAAAATATTCTAGTCAAATTCAAATGCAATACAAGAACTTCTTCCCATATTAGTTCGGACATTAGTAAGGGCATAGTTTTAGAAGATAAGTTGTGGTTAGGTTATGACTTGGTAAGGATTATACTAGATGCTCATATTACACCAACTGCGGATTCAGATGATTTTGAATTGAGTCAAAATCAATCTGGAGTGATGACTGCTAAATCTGTTCACTCTTCCCAAATGGGGAACCGACATCAATATTCATGTAAGGATGGCTCAACAGTTTCGGGAAACACCTATGGACTCTAGGTTTGCTCCTGAAAAGGAAACGTTTTGTCTGGAAGATTATGCAAAGGGTTCTGCCAGTCAAAGTTAATCTTAGGAAGCAGAATATCCTGGTATCATGCCATTTCTGCAGTCAGTTTACATAAGATGAGAAACATCTTTTAGGGACTGGACAATGTCAAGACATTGGAGATCCTCATATCTGAATGTTATTTTGAAATACAGTATTACAGTCTTTATTTCAGGTCGGATAAGAAATTATATGAGTTTATTTCATAAGAAAGACAGGCCTAATAGCTCAAAGAGCATTAAAATCTGAAAGTTTGAAACAGTCTCCCAGGCTCTGTACATATTGTCTGTGATTAAATGACCTATGTTAGATATTTAGTACATTTAGTGCATATATCATTTTCAGTGTGAACTCATGTACGTTGTTTGTGAGTAGGTTAGTAGGTTCAGAATTTGTATTTTATTCACTGCTTAATTTATATATTGTTCGATTACTTTCAGAATTTGTGTACTCAATGATGATCTCTGTCTGCTATTTGAATTAATATTACTGGATTTTTGAGTTTGGATACTTTGGTTACTGCCCTGCATTATGTAATTTGCAATGGTTCTGTTTTTTATGGTTAATTTATGTGATTCTCTAGTCTTAAATTTTTTGGTCATTATTGTTTCAGAAAGGTCACTATAATTTACATTTTGATTTCTTTTGTATCATAATGGTGCCAAAGGCTTGAAGAAGATAACTAAAGCTAAAAAGAAAAAGAGTATTGCGATTGAGGCTCATGAAGGTGCTCTTGAGCATCAAGTTTCTACAATTATATCACCATCATCTCGTCGTAAGAGAACTCATGATGAATTCGAAGTTGAACCTGCTGCTCTTGTTCGTCCTAAGAAGCCAAGGACTAGAACGAAGAAACCAATAGTTGAAAGCTGCTGAAACTGGTGGTGATGTACCTACGTAAGTAATTTAGCTATGAAAAAGAACAAGTCGACTTTTGTGTTGTTCCTTGGTGTTCAAGCATGCATGATTTCCTACTCTAATGTGAAAGTTGGACAGCTTACCAACAATAGTGCTTTGTTAGATTCTATAATCTGCCCTGCTACCAACAATAGTGCTTTGTTAGATTCTATAATCTTCCCTTGAATGCATTGAGCTTACAGTATTTGTGAACATCTCTCTCTAATACTTCATTATCATCGTACATATAATGTGAAAAATTAGCTTCTCTTTTTTTTGGAAATAATTTTGTCAGGCTGCATTGATTTTTTGATTTGTTAACTTGATGTTGATTTAATGTTGATAGCATTATTATTTCTATTTTGCAGATTGCGGCCATTTAAAACTAAATGTAGGCCTTTGCATTTGGTTGACATGATATCTAACTTTACTCTTGATCAAAAAAATTCTGTAAATTAAATTGGCTTTGGAGGGTTGTTATCATTGAAGTTGAAAAGGAATCCTACTAGTATGTACAGGTGGCTAATTGATTCTTTTGACTGTGGTAGCTGCATGTTTTCAATTGGTAATAATAAGGAGTTTGTGGTGAATGAGTATGATGTGTTTTGCCTTCCTTTGAACCCCAAAAATGTTGAGGAGATACCTAGATCTGCTAATAATCCAGACTTTATTTTCAAACATAATTGGAGATTGCATTTTGGGTTGACAGATAAAAATGATCAAATTCCACTTAATTTGTTAGAAGCTAGGATACCTACTTTAGGCCAAGGTGGAGATGAGTTTAAGCAACTCTTTGTTATGCATGCTATATCCACGTTTAGCTCCTACTTCTAACAGAACTGCTGATCTTAGGATTGTCAAGGCACTTGATGATGTTGAACAAATTAAGAATTTGAATTGGTGTAAATATGTTCTTGAAAAACTGTGTGAAGGTGTTAAAAGTTACAAAAAAGGAGAAATTCAGAACTGTTGTGGTTGTGTTTTGATGTTGGAGATTATTTACTTTCATAGGTTGAAATTTAGGAATGTTGAATTAATTACTTCTTTACCCTTAATTCAACATTGGAATGATGAGTTGATGAAGGATAGAATTAAGAAGGAAAAATTGTCCAAAAGTTTTGGGTGTGGGATTTTACTGATGTGTATCCTGTTAGTGGTAAACTGAAGTTTCTGGATGGACATGTTGTGGGTATTGCAGGGGGAAGTATGGGGAATGTTGGGGGAGTGATAATGTTGTGAGGAATGTCGGGAGGAGTGTTGATGTGCCTGATTCCCAGGGTACAATACAGTTCATTCGCCCAGCAGGTTCGATGTCAGATCAAGAGATCCATTCGGCTGCTATTGATGTAAGGAGTAGCTGACTTTTATTCTATATTATTATTTTTATTATTGGATATGATTTAAATGTTTATACATGTTTCTTTTAATGTTTTTGCAGCCCGTTCATGAGCAATTTTTGTTCATGAAAAGAGATATGCATGTGATCTCTTCTTTTTACAATGACAAGATAAAATAGATTCTTCTTTCACGTGGTGAGGCCAACAACTCTTCTGGCTCTTCTGGTATTAATTTGTCCCAGGATGATTCGTTTTTTATGGATCCTCAAGTTCAATCTGTGATTGACGGGTATTTTTTCACCAAAAGCATTTGATTCAAAGGCTAGAATTGTACACATTAGGAGAGCCTTCTGAAATCACGAGCAGTAGTATTTTGGATTGCTGGGCATTGCTTCTCAATGAAAATCAGAAATATTTGAAGGATGGACCTTGGAAATTATACTTTGGTTCTTCAATTAGTGTGAGTTGTTTAATTATTTCAATGTTTATACATGTTTTTACTTTTTACGGTTTTTTTTATTTGTTAAAATATTATGTAGGTTACAATAGTAGAAGCTGCCGGCAGTGATGGCAATTCACAAATAATGGACAATGTTTATCAAGGTTTGGAGGAATGGATGAAAATAGCTTGCAATGATTTTGATTTGTTACTTTCTGTTTTTTTATGCTTTAAAAAATATAGTTCCCTTTTTTTATGTTATAGATACCTTTTTTTAAACGAGAGTGACTATTGAAAATTGCATAAGTATATTTTTAAAAGAGGTCACTATAATATCAAAAATGGAATCTATTTGTGTTTTTTTTATTCTGACTAATGGTAGTATTATTGTTATTGCAGATATTTTTACCTTGTCTTTGGGGTAATCAATATTGCTTATTTGTGGTGAATTTGACTGAAGGAAAAATTCAGTTTATTGATAATCTGAATTATGATGAGGATAATCGTATGTTTTTGAAAAAGTTGTCTAGTCTCCTGGTATTACTTTCTCACTCTTCCATATCTTCACAATTAAGTTTATTGTTTATTGTTTGTATTGACTTGTTTATAGTGAGCCGCATATTCTCACTCTTTTCTTGTCTGGTGTTTTGGAGTTTATTCCTGGCATTTTTGTTTTTATTTGTTGCTGATCTTGTAGAATTTTATGGCTGTTGTGATGCTTCCTGTTATGATAGCAGGAGTATGGCTATCATCTGATTTGTTATTAGGAGTATGTAGATGTTGTGATTTGTGATCTAGTTGATTTTTAGAGATCGATGAGAATGAATGATTGATTATGTGATGATTTGTAACGGTCGATATGATATATGATATGTTGCTATTGTATTATTGTATTGTTGGGTTTATGTTTGATGTGATTCAATGGATTATGTGAGATTGCACTATTTATGATGTTGACATTATTTATTTAACTATGATATTAGGTCCTTTTATTAAATGGTGTGCTTATAGAATTACTGTGATGATGCAGCTGCTGAACCTGTTTTAGTAAGTGAGACTAAAAGAAATTTATGAATGTATAGAATTCCATTAAATTGAATTGGAAGTTGTTATATTGATGCTCTTGAGGATCGTTTGCATCTTCAGAGATGCAAAATAAAGTTGTAATCGTGTATTCGTGTAAGTAATATATTTCCAAATAAACTAAAGGGAAGGTATGCCTTTGGAGATTTATCATGGAATCTTGAGGTTATTCTATGATATGATTTTTGGCTTGGTTATATGGTTGTTTGTGAGTTGAGGCCTGAGGGAGGGTGTAGTCATAGTGACATGTTGGATTTTTTCTAACTTCTGAGTATAATGGTTTGCTTGAAATTTGCTTAATAATTACTACATAACTCTGTTAGGCAACATTGTAGCTGATACTGAACATAAAGTTGCAGCATGGTTGTTATAATGACTCTTAATAGATCGTTTAATGTGACTATGATCTGATTATATGCTTTTTTGCTAGTGTGATATGATCAGTACCTTCTTTGATCAAAGGCTTACTCAATCTGGAGATATGGTTGACTACGCTTTGGAGTTTCCTACTTTGAATTGGAGATCTAGCAAAGATAATTCAGATTTTGGTGTTTATATTATGATGAGCATGCTTTTATTCAATGGAGTTGATGAGTTTAAATGTGAAGTTGTAAAAACAGTTATGTTTTTCTTTCCCTTTTAAATTATTTGTTTAATTTCTTTTTATTAATATCATAATATCTTATATTGATTACTTACTTTTTTAGGCTTCAAATAGGAAGATTCTCCGGATTCAAATTGCTGCGTCTTTGGTATTATCTGATATGAATGAAGCTAGATCAATTATAATTGATAAGGTGGCTGAATTCAAACTTGATAGGTAGCGTCTTTCAAAAGAGGTTGAAGAAAGAAGAAAAAAAGAGATTGAAGAGAGGAAGAATAAGAAGCCAACTGAAGACAAGAAGAAGAAAGGAAAGGGGAAGGGGAAAGCTTAAGATTTCAGAACATGATTTTTTGACTTAGTATTAATTCAACTTTTGTGTATGATATTGAAGAAGATTGAAAAAATATTCATTTTGTGTAAACAAGCATTTGCCAACATTTTATGAAAATGGTATATTGTTTGTTTAAAAAAAAAGTCTCAATATTAATATACGGGTTACTATGCTAATGTGAAATGTTATTATAAACTTATATTTATAAAGGTCTTTATGTGATAATAAAGGTAACTATGTTAATATTAAAGGTAACTATGTTAATATTAGAGGTTTACATTGAAATGAAATGTCACTATATTATAATAGGTAACTATATGTTAAAATAAAGTCACTTTATTATTTATAAGGTCTTTGTTTGGTTAAAAAGGTCATTTCGTTGTCAATATTGTATAGTGTGAAAATTAAAAACTATGTTAAAGTAATGGCAATTATCGTAGGTCACTATATGTTAAAATAAAGTCACTATTTTATTAATAATATTACTATTATAAATATAAAGGTAACTATGTCAAAATTATGGACTACGTTCATTAATGTTAAAAAATTGACAATACAAGGGTATGAAATAAAGATTACTATTTAGGAATAAAGATCGCTATATTGTGAAAAAAGGTTACTATTATAAAAAATTTAGCTAACAAAATTAAAGATTACTATATTAATCATAATAGACACTATATCATAATAATTAGTATTTAAAAGATATAAAGTTTCTAAAAATGAAATTACAAATAAAACGTAACCATGTGACAATACGGGTTACTATGACAAAATTTAATGTTCTTAAGACAACATTTGATGTCTTTAGACTATCAGAGCATATACTTATTATTAATATTTGGTGTTTTGGCACCAAATTCTCTATGCTTCCTCCACTTCCCCTTTTTCATGTAGTCATAGCTTCCTGGAATCCTTTTATTTGATTGTTTTCCTTTAGTTTTTGCACGAGCTGGATTCAATACTTGAACAACACTAGATGAAGTTGCTTCTGAATTCTCTTCTACACCTGTAGTGTTCTCTGAATGGTTGTTAGTTGATTTCATAGCAGAAATAATCTCATCTATTGCACTTGAATCTTTTGTGAAGCTTTCTTCTAAGACTTTTCTTGCTTGTTCAAACTTGTGGCTCTTAAGGATTAGACTATAATACTTCCTCACCATGTGTAGCCGCCAGGGTGTGAAGTTGTTTAATGTCCCCTTCTTCTTTTGCTCTGCCTCCTTACTTTTCCAAATTTCAACCTTAGCCATTTTAGTCCATATGAAAGATATGTATTGCTCGGGGATTTTTTCAACAGAATGCATGTGCAATATTCTAAGGCTATGGAAGCATAACCAACCCGACTCTTCAAAATTCTTGCATGGACATTGAATTGTTTGGTTTGCTGGATCGTAAGTTACTGCTTGAGTTGTGCCATCTCTGCCTTCAAGGTACACTTGGTAAACCATTTTGCCTCCATTAATCAATAGCAGTTTAGTTTGAGATCCAATGGCTGGGTTGAATTCTTCTTCAAAGTCCCTGAATAATGTATGTGTATAAACCTCAGCAGCATGTTTAAGTAAGGCAGACATCGGATAACTTGACGTAGGAATTGATTTTGTGCTATTAAACTCATAAAAATCCTCATTCCTTCTCCAAGTCTTCACTGTCTTTTGAAATATGTCGTAGAATTCTGTCAAACTTGTCTTCTTGTTTGCTTTAAATCCCACTGCACGATTTGTGCTCTCACTTCTCTGTGACGACAAGATTCCCGCGGAAAAAAAGTCCTTACTTAGAGCTGTTGACCACTTATGCTTTAGTGAGTATAACCTCTTGAACCAACTGTTGTTTTTCAACTTGTACTTTGTCATCATTGAATCCCAACATACTTCAAACTGAGATTCATTAATACAACCACTCAAGCATTTCGTGAAAGCAGCTTTGAATGTGTCATCACTCTTCAAAATTCCAAATCTTGTTACAGCATTTTGAATCAAATGTCATAGACATAGTCTATGTCTAGTGTTTGGAAATACCTGTACATTTTTATACAGTTACCATAGTTTCACAAATGGTTACTGCATTTAAAATAGAGGTAACTAAATATAATTTCAATACAAACATATTTAGATGTAGTAGTAACTAATTACCTTGGGTATTGCTGCTGCCATGGCTGCATCTTGGTCTGTAAACAGTGAGACTGGACATTTACCACCCATTGCCTTTTTGAAGGTCTCAAATAGCCACACAAATGACTCTATGGTCTCATCACCAATAAAAGAACAAGCAAACATAGTGTTCTTCCAATGGTTGTTTATTCCTACAAAGGGTGCGCAAATGAGGTTGTAACGATTCGTCCTATATGTGGTGTCAAATATAGTGACATCCCATATATTTTTTTATCTTCAAGCATCATAGAATCCCTCCAAAACAAGTTACAAACCCTTCCATCTGCATCCAACCTTACTCTGAAAAAGAAGTTAGGGTCTTCATAATAAGCTTCCTGTAATTTGTCACAAACTACTTGAGAATCTCCTGTTTCAATGGCCTTTATTTTCAGTTTATAACAATAATTCATGTGGTCTTTCACTGTATGACCAATAGCATCTTCTCCTCCAGCTTCATTTGACATGTAATTAAAGGATTCCATAGGTCTTAGTCCAGATTCTTGCATGGCCTCAATCACTTGCCCTTTAATTTCAGTCATTGCACGCTCTGAACGGTGGAAATGGTTCCATTGTGGTCTAGTGAGTGGATGATTGTGCACCAGCACATGCTGAACTATCTCAAATTGCCCCTCCTCATTCAATTTGGCTATTATCAAAGCATTACAGCTTGTCCTTATTATAGGAACTATCCTACTTTGTCTTGTTTTTTTTTAACCGAAGAACTTTCCTCTGTCAAGAGTTCTGGAATTTTCTCCTTCTTTTTACTAGAATTCCTCAGTCCAGCTGCAGAGCATACAAAGAACTTTTTGGTGATAATATCTTTAGTTCCGGTTTTTCTTTTCTAACACTAAAACCAACTGCAGCAGCGTGTTGACAATACAATTCATGTATTTCTGCAAGTGTTGCTCGAGTTTCTCCTACTAACCAACCACTAACCTCTTCATTATTATTTGCACCTGTTATTTATTTGCACCATCCATAATTATCATTTATATAGGTCAAATTGGGTATATTACAATAGCACTCTAAAGTCTACAGTACATCAGACATATCAGAAAAGCACTCTAAGATAGATCACTATACTATCACTAAAGGCAACTATATTACTTAATACTGGTTTTGCATGTCTCTAACTACTGTAAACCTAATTATTTTCAATCAATATAATTACGTACTACTAGTTGCAATTATACGAATTAATGCCTAAATACCTAATTTAATTTTCCAAAAAAAAAATTGCAATTGCATAATTGCTTAATTTACATTATCAAATTCTAAAATCAATTGCATATATATCGCATAATACCTTGAGCTTGCATTACATGTTGATTTTCCTGCTGAACTTCATTCTCATCCTTAGCTTCAATAATAGCTTGTTCTACATCTTCAACAGCGTTATCTTCTTGTTCAAGTTCGAATTGAATGGGATGATGATACAAGCTTCCTGTAATTTGACAAATCAAACAATGATCAATAAATTTGCACAGTTTGATCAATCAAATAGATTATCGGTAATAATTCTTATCTTCATAGTTGCTTTCAATTTGAGCTTCATTGTTCAGATCGAAATTGATGAGATTAATAACGAACTCTTCTATAATGTCCTATATATTTCGATTTAGATCAAATTCAAGTGAATGTATAGAAAAATTTTCCATGAATTTTGCAGAAATTGATTGATTATGGAGAAATTATTAACCCTAGAATTGATTAGAAGAAGAGAGGAAAGAACTTCGAGCTCTATTATGGCGTAGATGATGAAGTTGCAGAGGAAAGAGAATTCATCGATTTTTTGTTACGGGAGTGTCTGGGAAAGAGAATTCATCAGCCTAGTTTTGTCACGTGATATTTTTTAGGTCCACAATAAGTTTATTGTGGACCAGGTTTGTCTCTTATTGTTTTGATAAATATTATTTCAGTATATTATAGGGCTTTGTAATTTGTACTCTTATATAATTTCAATAATTGATGGACCTATCGTCATAATTAATGATCAATTTGGACCGAAAAGAAGGTTTTAGTTTTGGAAGGTTTTAATTTTGGAAAAGTTTTACTGTTTTAGTTTGGGAAGGTTTTAATTTTGGAAGGTTAACCAATAGAATTTACTTTAACTATGAAAGATACGTGATTGTGAATTGTGATAGTAAGAAAATAAAAACTAGAGTACACAATATTGCAATATAAGAATGTATACGACTAATTTGTTTTTATAAGTCTTGTGTTAGGCGGGTGTACGCTAATTTTATTGTAAGATGGTCAGTTTGAGGGTAACTTTAACTATTTTTATAATAACTTTAATCACTTAAAGGATAACTTTTAATTTGTCGTGGTTTGAATTTTATTTTAATGTGTAATATCTTATAGATTCATGATTACATACTATAAAGACTAATATGATTAATCTAATGCATTATAAGTTTTTTTGTAAGAAAAAATTTATTATTTGAAAAATAATAACTTTTGTTGTATAAAGGGTAACTTTAAATACTTTTATGATAACTTTAACTCGTCTTACAATAAATTAACGTACACCCGCCTTTTTGGAGAATTTGTGAATTTGTTTTCTTCCTCTTCGAATTAAAATACTTTGTAGTATATACTACCTCTGTTTCGTAATAACTGCAACAATAGGTATTGCACAAAATTTTAGGAAATTTATAGGGTGGGACTAAATAGGGAATTTTATGATATATGTATAGTTGGTGAAGATATATTTAATTGGTAGTACAAGAGAGAAATTAATTATAAAAAAAGTATTATAAGGTTGGTAGGAGAGAGGAATAATTATAATAGTAGTAGTGGGTCCTTACAAAATTAAAATTTGCAATTATTATGAAATAGACACAAAAGAAAAGTGTTGCGGTTATTACGAAACGGAGATAATACTCCGTAATGGATATTGGATAGTGTATATTCACGCATATTTATAAAGAAGTGTGCTTAAAATGCCAAAAAAAAAAAATCTCATTATTGATGAAGTTAAAATAAGTTAAATTCAATAAAAATAAGTTCAAGATTGCGTTCTTTTCATCTAAAATAAATAATATTTGATGCATAATTTTAATTCATCAATAAAAATAATTTTAGTTTTGCAACATAAAAAAAAATAAAAAATTATTTAGCTAGAATAAGTTAAAATCAACTAAAATAAACTTAGTTTAGCTAGGATGAGTTAAAATCAACTAACACTTCCTTATAATGGAATTGTCACAATGCTCTTTTTCTTTTTTTCTTTTTTCTTTTTTTTTTTTTTTTAACTTTTTTTACAAAATCAAAGGCAACTACAAACAAACAACTAATAATTAGAAATAGTAAAACGACATCTTCTTGCTATGTCGTTTGCCCTTTGAACCTGTTCTCTTGGGACTTTCAGAATTAAGTAGCACCCACTTCCCTAATTTCTTTTAACATCCAAGAAGTTATCGTGACGTTCCTACCAAAGCTATCCTGTAGGTTGTTAATGAGTGAGACAGAGTCGGAAAGAAGAAGGATCCCCTCCTTACCTTGTGTTCGGGCCCACTTCATTACTCCGAGGCAGGCCCAAGCCTCACATTGGATAACTGATGAAGCAGCCCCACACTTCCCCCCCCCCCTCACCCATAGTATTACCCTGATCATTCCTTGTTACGGCCCAGACAATTCCTGCCCTAGTGGTCTTCTTGTCCCACGACCCATCTGCTTCTATAGTAAAGTTATCAAACCCAACCTTCTCCCTTCCTAGTTGCACAATACTTGCAACACACTATAATTGGAAAGTTTTTAGGAAAAATTGCCACCATTAATCCCAATTTTTCTCCATCCGCTGTTATTAATCCCAACTTCCATTTATTTTCTATCACTCCTAACTTTGTACCCTATTAATTTTTATCACCTCCAACCGATCATCCAACTTGATGTAGGAGGTTACTAGACACGTGTCAACGCGTGATAGGTCCGAAAAAATAAAAAAAATAAAACAAATAATTTTTTTTTAAAAAATTAAAGCCCTAACCCCTACCCCAGCAGGTGGCAGCCCCTGCCATCTCCGGCAGGCGGCAGCCCCTACCTCCTCCGACCCCTTTCCCTTCCCCCTCCCCTCCCCTGTCCATTTCCGTTAATCGCCGACGACTCCTGCTGCTGCCTCTGGTGGTGGCGGTTTCTATAGCCACGCACTGCTGCTGATGCTAGCTGCTGCTTCTGCCATCGGTTGCCGCAGTTGCTACGGCGACTGCTACTGCTGTTGCCTTTGGTGGTGGCGGTATATCGGTGGTTGTCTCGGCCACTGATGCTGCCGTCTGTTCAACCACCCTCGATCTCCCTTTCTCCTCCGTTTTCGCCAAAACCTCATCCCCATCCAACTCCATCAACGACCACCCTCGATTTCCCTTCCTCCTCAGTTTTCGCCAGCACCTCATCCCCATCCAACTCCATCAACGACCACCCTCGATCTCCCTTTCCCCTCAATTTCCGCCGCCTTCACCGTTGGTTTCCACCCTCATTAACCTTCCCCGTCGAATTCCGACCATATCCCTCTCATCCCCTTCTAATTCCGACATCCCCCAACCCTTCCCCCACCGTTTCCGCCCCTTCCATTCTCTTTCACGCGCGGATTCCGCCCTTCCTTCCTTTCCCCATCCAATTTTGACCACCTTGCTGCATTCTCCGTCGAATTCCGGCCACCCCTCCCTTCCCTTCCCCGATTCCGTCTATCTTTAACTGTGGCTGCCGTTAAGGGTGGTTGCCTTTTTTTTTTTTCAATTTTGGTTTTTTGTTTTTAAATTTGACCAATCACGTGGTGACACGTGTGCAAAAAAATCTAACTCACAAATGTTAACCTGATTAACCGGTTGCAACTCAAATGGGGTGATAAAAATTAATAGGGTACAAAGTTGGGAGTGATAGAAAATAAATTGAAGTTTGGATTATAACAGCGGACGGAGCAAAGTTGGGATTAATCATGGCAATTTTTCCAAGTTTTATTGTTAAAAGTTGTAATACTGCCCTTATTTTAAACTCATGACCCACTAAATTATACTCTAAACAATCTCTCACCTTCATTTTAAGTGTACTACACCCTTCGTGTTTAAATAAATGAAACGTTTTGACTTTCACGGAGTTTTAGAAAGGTTAGTTGAATTTATTAAAATAATGGGTAGTGGAGTATAAGTTGAGGAGAGAGAAGATAGAAAAGGGTTTTGTGGGGACCATTAGTTAGTAGAATGTTATTTAAAAGTAGAAAAAATATTATTAGAAAGTAGAGAGAAGATTCTAAAAAGGAAACGTTTCATTTATTTAAACACGGAGGGAGTATATCATGTGAGACCATCTTTTCTTAAATACCGTGAAAAATGTGTTGCAAGTATTAAAAAAACAAAGGAAGTAGGAGTTAAGGTTTTGGACGAATATTTTTAAGAGAAGAAACGCGTATTAGATCGCTCTGGCCAGTACGTTAATTACCTACTTATAAATTATTGCTACTGGTCAATGGTAATCGTACAAGACAATGAATTATTGGATCTGGTTCCCCAACCTGTTTGTTATCGGATTAGTTACCCTACTT